GAAGAGAAAATACATTTCTACTTACAGCAGAGTAGCTGCCAAAGTGTATTTTGAAGCTTCATGCACCGACTTGCATGGCCAGTTTCTGCCAAACAAGAATACCTTCATCACATACCCACTCTGATAAATGCCACTGAATAGCCACTGAACAGCCCAAATTTTGCATCCTGGTTGCATTTGGTTGGTGCAGTGGTAGCTCAGTTTTGGCCTGTAGATATGTTCACGCTTAGCTTCCAGTGTTTCTAGTGCTTGTCTTTGTTTGGAAGGATTCTTTCCACTGAATGGCAGTGTTGGGATTTCAGTCTTCCATGCTGTTTGTGAAAATGTGGTAACCATTTTTGCTAAAATACTTGCAAGAAAAGTAACAGGTAACCAGCATTCAGCTGCCTTGATGGATTTCCACATAGTGACATGTCCCAGATTTAGGTTTTGGAAAGGAATAGCTTTAGGTCCCCTGTGCAGGAGTGAGGGGTGCAGGAAGAGGTTTAGAACCAATGCTGCCCTTGTGCTGGGCTGAAGAGTTGGGGTAGATACAGGCCTTGTACTGTCCTCATGCAGGGGTGAGGTGAGGTGCTGAGAAAGGAAACCAGGCCTAGTGCTGCTTACCCTGATCCTGGAACTGAAAGAATCATATACTGTAAGGGGAAGAGAGGGGAAGGGTCAGTCACTCAACTGTGGATGGCATGAATCACTCTGCTGGACCTGGTCATGGCAGGGGAGAGGCACTGACCAGCTTGAGTTTTGCTTTATTTCTTTCTTGAACAAATCTCCTAGTGAAACATTTCTTCTAGGTATGTTGAGCAGATGGGGCTGAGACACAGACAGTCCCATTTCACCGTAGAAGACCTCATTCCCTGCACTCCACATAGCAAAACCCTGCCTTTCACTGCAGAAACCCTACACTCCATTTGCTTTGGCGCTAGCTCTCCAGCATGCTGGCCGAGGGTCTGTGCTTGCAGCAGAACAAGAACTGATTAATACCAGCTCACATTGCTCTCCTAAGGAAATGGGAATTATTTATGCTCTGGTATCTCCAACACAGATCTCCCTGGTTATGTTTTGTTTTACCTTGTTAGTTTCCAAGTCACATTTTTCCTATTACCAGTTTGATGTGGGTGAGTGCAGGGCATGTCTGCACTGTTTAGACTGTGCATGCTCCCACTGGAAAGAGAAAGGTTGTGCTGCCACTGCTATGGGTGGTAATGGACACTCAGTTCCTCCCCTTGACCTTCACTTTTTTTCTTGACTTCACGGGGCAGGAGACAGATTCCAGTGGATAGCAGAGCCTTGCCTGGTGCCTGCTTGCAGAAGAACAGTGTGTTATGCTCATATACCCACCTGCAAAGCAAACCCAGCTACTGGCCATTACTTTTTGTGGGGGCCCAGCCTATGCAGTGCCCTGGTGCCCTGCAGTGCCTTGTTATCCATTGGTACATCTACTCTTCTTCCCAGAATGCTCCCCACACAGCTCAGACACAGCTCTAGCAGCAAGAATGGAAATAAAAACTGGCTGAGGGTTAAACAGTGGACATTCCTGAGCAAGAAGCTAACACAGCTGCTGAAAGGGCTATGGTGGGGCTCTGCCTCCCTATTAGAGGCCACCTCTGTATTCCAAAATAACCAGAGCTGAGACCACCAGAAATGTGGTGCTACAATAGGTTGCTGTAATATGGGAGTGGCACTGGAGGCCTGTCAGAGAATCCCATGGCCATGGAATCATCACTCTGCTGGTTGGGACCTTTTTGGGAATGACATGGGAATGGCCATTCTGTAGCATCTATAAAAGGAGACCTCTGGGCTGCTGTGGGCTACAATTAAACATGTCAGAAGGCAGGGAGTGCCAAGGTCACCCATCAGCCTGTATCTCAGGGCTCATTCACATCTGGAAATTGACTGACGTAGCTGTTCTGGCTTTATTGTTCTGGAACAGCTATTTCAGTGACTTTCCATATGTAGAATTATTCCTAAGTGCCCACATAGGACTTAGGAGTGGAAGAATTCTTGAAAAATACCTATCTTGTGCAGCCTTCAAGGGCAGGTGACAGAGGGCACCTGGCAAGTCAGGATGGAGTCTGCATGTGGGGTGCAAGTCATTTAGATCCTTGTGTTTTCTAGAGAAAGGCCCTCTAGAGAGGAGCCAAAGGCCTGTAAGGGCCTGATTCACCTATGATTAGAACCCCCATGCAGTGTGGGACACCAGCCCAGAGTGAAAGTCCTCTGGCTTTCTAGTGCTGCCTCTCTCTGCCTTGCACAAAGTGGTCTGTACCTCCTGGCCATGTCCCTTTCATGCGAACTGACCTGGAAACTAGGATTACCCAGGGTTTGCAGGAAAAGCCCCACTGTTTTCCTTCATCCCAGGGCATGGCGCCAAAGCAGGAAGCATTGTGTATGTGTGTGGTACTCTGATGGGGGACTGCAGTTCCTGCCCAGGAAAGGTTCTTATCTGTCAGAGCTGATCTGGCCTGTGAGGCCAGTCACAGCAAACAGGCTTTGTAGAGAATCCCTAGTGCAGGGTGAATCAGCAGCCCCACGGCAAGCCAAGCAATCCCAGAAAGGGTCTTGTGGAAATCACTCTGTTCTTCAACTTTAACAATGGATAATGTGATGGGCCTTCCCCCCAGATATCAAAGTACCCACCAGTTGTTCTGTAGCAAAATCCACCTTTGTGCTCTGCAGCACACAGTTGTTCTTACAGGGGATACCGTCTCAAGGGGTGGCCATGCTTCCCCCAGTGTCACACCTTGGCTCACTTGCAAAGCCAGATAAGCTGCTGCATCGTGGTCCATTGCTCCTGCTCTGGTGACCAAAACAGAAGACTGTGATGGGATTGGATAAGTGTTCAAATACCCAAAGGGTGACTCTAAAGAAGATGGAGATAGACTTTTCTCTGTGACTATAAGGGACAGGTCAAGTATCAATGGCCTCTGCAGTAAGGGAAATTTAGGTTGGTCAAGCATTGGAACAGGCTACCTAGAGAGTTGTAGAATTACCATCCATGGAAGTTTTCAAAGCAGGTTAGACAGACATTTGGCTGGGCTGGTTTAGTCAGGGAGGATCATGCTCTGAACAAGGGCTGGACTAGATGACCTCCAGAGGGCCTTGGCATCCTGAGTCTTCCATGGACAAGCACCTAGCTGGGGGTCATCTGACCCCAGTGCTCTTTCCTTCCCGGGGCAGGAGGTCGGGCTCGATGACCTACTGAGGTCCCTTCCGACCCTAACATTTATGAATCTATGATTCTGTGATTCTATGACCATGTTGTACTGACTCCAGCAGAGGGCATCAAAAATAGTTAGGGAGTTGGGGCACCTGACTTATGAGAAAAAGCTGAGGGAACTGGGCTTATTAGTTTGGAGAAGAGAAAAGTGAGGGGAAATTTAATAGCAGCCTTCAACTACCTGAAGGGTGGTTCCAAAGCAGATGGAACTAGACTGTTCTCAGTGGTGGCAGATGACAGAACAAGCAGCAGTGGTCTCAAGATGCAGCAAGGGCAGTTTAGCTTAGATATTGGGGAAACTTTCTCACTAGAAGGGTAGTAAAGCACTGGAACAGGTTACTCAGAGAGGTGGTGGAATCTCCATCCACGGAGGTTTTTAATACCTGAGTAGACAAAGCCTTAGCTGAGGTGATATAATTGGGGATGGTTCTGCTTTGAGCAGGAAGCTGGAGTAGATGATGTCCTGAGATCCCTTCCAAACCTAATTTTCTATGATTCTATGACTCCTTTAACTTGCTGCTGAGCCCTGACAGTCCATGCCACAGCAGCCATTGCCCTCTTCCTGTAGCAATGCCGGCTCCATGCTCATCTTCCCTCTTTCCCAGCTCTCCTATTAGGAGCCATCCTTGATGCATAATCTGTATTGTTCCTTCCCTACCTCAGACCTCCCTGCAGGTATTTTCCAGGTGCCAACATGTCTCATGTGCCTTTGCTGGATTGGACTGAAGGCCAGACCTGTCTCGCAGCTGACTCACACTCACCAAAGGTCTGACCCTACAAGGAGGCCTCTTGGTTCTCTCCCCAGGGGGACATTGTGATCCCTAGACTAGCTTTTCATTTCCCAGCTCTGTGGTTCTGGCTTCTTTATGCTACATCATTCATGCTGCCCAGTTTCTTCTCTTTGTTCCCAGGTGCTGATGCTGATGGAATTCTGCCCTGGTATTTCAGGAGCCAGCACTGCACTGGCCCCATTCAGCTCAGTGATGTGTAGTGCCTGGCTTATCATCAGTTTCAGGACATGTAAGGCACTGGGGGCTGCTGCTTGCCAATGGATTTGTGGTCTCTGGCTCTGTGAGCTCTCATCTTTCCCAGGTCCCAGGGCATGTACACTCCTGAGTTACTGTTACATCTTTTCCCCAAAGCCTGGCCCTGGCTTGTGAGGCTTCTCAGCAGCCCTCACCACTGTGCCGTTAAGTACATGCATGGAAAAAGGTCAAGTTGTGGGTGTTGATGAGGTTGGCATGGCAGATTAAAATGACCTGGAATCTGATGCTTACCAGCACTCAGACACTTCTATGCTGCTTTGCCAGTGCAGAAAAGGCCTAATGTAGGTGGAAATGGCTCTCTGGGAACCCCCATCACACATGCTTTCTGCCAGTGAGGAGCTGACTTGAAGACTTGTGCTGTCCCAGTTCACAGCCCTTGGGTAGGAGGTATGCTGGTGGTGTGGCTAGGACAGGTTGTGCTAGGGCCATCTGGGGGTGTAGCCAGAGTACACTGGGACCCTGAGGCACTCGCTGCTTCACTCCCCATGGGCCCACACTGTCTTTCCTGGGCAAAGAATCACTCTTAATTTCTCCTTGACCTTGAGCTCTTGTATATCCTCTCCTGTGAGGCCTTTAGGGTTTCCCCTGCTGACACTGGGAAATCCAACCACTTGGGAAGCTGATGTTTTCTCTGTGTCCTTCCCTGCCATTGGCTGCATTGCACTCATTCGTCAGCAGGTGCGTTGATGGGATGATAAGCAGCCAGCTATACCTTGGAAAGGGCCCAGCCAGCAGTTCCTGTCTAAGCAGCATCTCTTATTGAACTCTCTCTTTGCCTTTGTACCATCCCTGAGAGAATGACCTTCCAGGCATGCAGGCAACTCTGTTGCTTTCTCCTCCTCTCTCTTCTCCAGTGGGGTAAGACCAACTCCTCCTTCCTTGATTCCTACTTCCTTCAGGTACCCAGCAGTGGCCCTTCAAAATGTAGTCTGACCCTTGAGAGCAGTCATGCATTTAGCTGATATCTGCTCCCTCCCTCAGTGTGGCTCAGGTTCTTCTGCCTTATTGTCTGGGTGTTGTGTGAGGGACTCTAGCTGCTTTCAGCAGAAAAGGGGTTGGTTTGCTTAGAAAGGAGGCTCCTTTAGCCAAGGCAAAGAAAGCTCCTGTCCACCTGGGATAAAGCATGTCAGCAGAAGGTCCCTAGGACAACCAGCCTCAGCAGCAGGTACCCATGTGACAAGTGCCAGGACAATTTGGGTTACAGGGGGGATTTGCTCCATGGCTCAGTCCTGCTAGAGCCTCCGTGGTTCCTGGGATGCCCTCCCTCTGCTGCCTTCTCCTTGGGGGAGTTAATGGAAGCACAGCAGTCAGGACTCCTCAGAGTCTTCCTGATTCCACTTGGTGACACCATCACCATCATTGCAGCCACCAGCAGTACTGTGCATGTTGGCGTTGACCTCAGGCTGTGGAAGAGGGCTACAGGGGGAGTGTGGGCTCATCTTCAGGCTAACATTCCTGGGTACCATGCACTGGGAGGCTGAGTTAGGGCTGAGCCCAAAGGGCTGTTGAGGACTCCTGTTCTGTCAGCTGTTAGCTGCTTGTGTGGGGTGGGGTGCGCCTGTGCTATCTGTCCTGCTTACACTCTCCCATTGTGTGCTGTGCCCAGCACCCCACCCTCCCACCATTTGTTTAGATACTTCTGAAGCCTACTCTGCATGTGGCTGGGAGTTTTCAAAGGGTCTGTTCTTCTAACCCTCCTGCACCTGCCCCAGAAGTGACCCAAACCTGGTTGCTCAGGGTCCACAGGAGTTACTTGGCAAAAACACTGTGAATATGCCCCTAGGTGATTTACTGGCAGTGTGAGACCCTGAAAAGAAACTCAGTGCCTTCCCTTCCCAGCCAGGGTCTACATAGCACTGAACTGGTCCTTCTCAATAAGTGACTTGCAGGCACAGTGCTGAGTGCAGGGGACAGCAAAGCAAGGCAAAAGAAAGTCCCCCATCCCAAAGGATAGTACCTTGCTTGGTGCTGGCTCCTAAGGGGACCAAAGCAGGAGGGAGCCTTTTTCATAGCTCTGTTGGAGGAGGTGCATGGTACCAAGCCCCTGTGCTTTGCTTCCCAGGGATCTCATTAGGGACAAGAGCCCAAGAGGAGCCCCAGCCTGTCTTCTTTGGTTTCTCCTTCCAAAACCGAACCAGGAAAGGACCCCAGCAAATGCCTCAACTGGGTTCTTAGGGATACAGGATCCCCAGTGTATGTGTAGGGGCAGGGACAGGTGATTATGTGCAGCCCTTTCCCTTGTGTTCTTCACCACCTGCAGCCCAATCCTGGCCCCAGCCTGACAACTCTTGTGTTCTTCCTGTTGCAGGGCTCAGCGAATTAACATATGGAGACCTTGAGGATGAAAGTAAGAAGCCCCTGCATTTGCCTCCTAGCATGCAAGTCCTGAAACCAGGCCTGGCTCTGAGCTTGGTGCCCCTCCTCTCTCACTTGCACCCTTACCTGTTCCTCCCCTGGCTGTAGGTGCTGTTGGCCCTGCTTTCACTTGTGCTTGGGGTTCTCCATCCCAGCAGTAGTGGGATCCCCCAAAACTCTACCCAGCATCTCTTCTCCAAGGTCATGGGCCAGTGGGTAAGGCAGCCTGACTTTGGAGGGAGCCACTTCCCCACCCATACCCCAGAGATAGGGTTTGGAGCTTGGGGTGGAAGCAGACAGGGCCATCCCTACTGGCCCCCTGCTCCTGCTCTCCTTGCCAGCATTAACTTTGCCCTTTGCTGTTTCAGGTCACTACATCTATCTGGATGAGGACAGTGAGTAAAGCTACCCTCACAGTGCCCCCTGCTCTACACTAGCAGACCCAGTTAATTCCTTTGCCCCCCCCCTCCACTTCCCCACCCCCACTTCAGCAACATGGTGAGAGGTAGTAGCTGTGTTAGTCTGAAGCCAAACAGAAGGCAAGGTAGATATGTACCTTATAGACTAACTAAATAAGATAAACTTTCATAAGCTTTCATGAACTCAAGCTCACTACTTCATCAGCTGCTGTGAAAGGACCAGCATAGAGCAGTGTATAAAGTGGAATCAGTGATTTGAATACAAAAGGTGAGAAGAAAGGAGGGAGAGGAAGAGGGAAGTGGGGCAGTGCTGGGAGAAGTAAATAAGAAATGAACCCATCATAGGAACAAAGGGGTCAAAAACTAATCCAGGTAATGAGATGAGATTTTGTAGTCCCTGTTTAAACCATATTTAACACAATCTAATCTTAAACCATACTTAACACGATCTAGTCCCGCAATTTCCCCTTTCAAACTGGCTTTTAAAATTTTACTGCTGGAGAACAACAAGCCTGAGGTCAGCAATGGAATGTCTGGGGAGCTTAAAGTGGTCTGCCAGAGCCCTTTTTGTCTTTCTGCAGCTGATGTCAGAATATTGTTCATTCATTCTTATACATAGGGATCACCCCACCTTTCCAAAGTAGACACCAGAGGGGCACTGTAAGCAGGTGAAAGCATATATGACATTGGTAGAGTTGCAGGTGAATGAACCTCGGATGTTGTATTCCTTGTTATTTAGTCCAGTGATTATATAGTCTGTATTTATGTGGAGGCCCAGTAGGCATTTGTGTCCATTGCAAGGCTTGGTGCCTTTGTGAGGATGGGAATTAATCTGTTACTTGAGAAACAGTTTGAGGTTGGGGAGCCGTCTGTAATCCAGGACAGGTTTGTCTCCCATGGCTTCTTTGAGATGTTCATCTTTTTCCAGGAGGGGTTGGAGGGCATAATGGTGTGTTGCAGGTGTTCAAGCTGTGGGCTGTAGGTGACAACCAGAGAAATTGTTATTCTTGTCTTGGGGTTGGTATTGTAGTGGGTTGGAGCAAGATCTGAGTCTGGCTTTGTTGATTTGAGTGGCTACAGATTAGGGATTGTATTGCAACTGTAGGAATCCTTGCTCCAGTTCCTTAAAATGTTCATCCTGGCCAGTGGGATCAAAGCAGATCTGGTTGTAACATAAAGCCTGGCTGTAGGTGATGGACTAGTGGTGTGCTTAGGGTGACAGCCGGTGGGGTGAAGGTTGCTGTGGTGATCCCTTGGTTTTTTCAATACAATATGGTAACAATGTGGTGATTGCAAGCCTTCACTGTAGTTTCTAGGAAATTAATTTGCTACATGGAGTATTTCAGAGTTAGTTTGATGGAGGGGTGGAAATTGTTACAGCACCCAGTGCCGGTGTGCAGAGTCCTCAGGCAATACTCAGCTGTAGAAGGATAGCAGGCAGCCTCCTCACACAGTGGCTTATAGGCATCTCACTAACAGCCCATGCCCTGGTACTGTAATCCCTTAGCCTTGGGGTCACAGCACAGCACCATCCAACAGGGACTGACATCAGCACCAGGTTTCCCCACCATGGGCCAGCCATGTGCCAAGAGACAAAACCCCCTTCCTGGTCCAGGCACTTCCTTCCTCGACATCATGTTCACAGGCTGTGGAAGGAGTTGGGGGCTAGCCCAGGACAACTGGTGGTGCCAGGATCTCTGCCCACCCCAGACCCGTGTAAAAGGGCCCCCTCATCTGCCCCAGGCAGCTAATAGTCGAGCCTTTCCCGTAGGCCCCTTTGCTGAGCTGGATGGTCTGGCGCACTGCAGGAGCACCTACCAGGACTGGATTTCGCTGTATTGCTGGACCACATTCCATGCCACAGTGATGGCCATGCCAGATGGGAGCCAGTGCCAGTGGGACCAGATAAGCAGGTTTGAACTTGGGGTTAAGGCAGCATCCTCATGGACCGCACATGAGGTCTTCTGGGGAGTGGGAGCTAAATGCAACCACATGGCCAGGACAGTTCCCAAGTATCACATCCTTAGGGTTCAGTGGAAAGATCTGGGGGAGAAAGGTGCAAGAGGCAGGGATGCCTTATGTCCTGAGCCAAAATGGCTTCCCTTCCAATACAGTTGGGCTCAAGATGCAATGCTGCATGCTATGTGGAGCATGCTGGGTACAGTAAAGCACGGGACTGTCCAACTGGTGACTTGTAGGCCACATGCAACTTGTGAGGGGTTAATCTTCAGCCTCTGGGGGTCCCCCTGACTGCCAGTCCCATCACTGTTCCAGCTGCTACTACACCTGAGGTCTCTGGGCTCCCGCTCCCTCTCTCCTGCTCCTACCCCAGGAGATGGAATGGCAGTGTAGCACAGCCCACAGTGATGTAGAGCTCGCAGCTTGGTGCAGTGGAGGAGCCTGCAGTCAGGAAAGTGAGGGTGGGCCTTAGCCTCTTCTGGTGGAGCCCCTGTAGTATGCAACCCCTGGCCACTAAGAAGTTGGACAGTATAGCATGTTGCATGGTGTGTGCTCTCTGATGCATACAGTGAGACATAGTGTGCACAGTGCTGCATGGTCCATGCTGCCTGGTATGTGAAGCATGCTGTGCACAGTGCTCTGTGACAGGTGATGCAGGCACTGCCATCCAATGCATTCAGTGCACAGGGTGCTGCATAGTAAGTGTGTGGCACATGCTTCCTGGTACATGCAGTGCTGTATGGCACATGCCATTTGGTTGGGTAGTGTGCTGTGTGCATCCCCATCTGATGTATACAGTGTGCAGCATGCTGGGTGCAGCACTGTCTAGTGTGTGCAGCACAGAGCACCTGGGGGAAGTACAGCACACAATGACAGGACAGAGGCTGGTTTCTGTCACTATCACATGCCGGGCTCTGAGTTTCTCATGGCCCCTTGAATGGCTGCCAGAGGGACCCAACTCCAACTATTCAAGCTGCTCTGAGCCACACACAGACTCACATCCTCTCCTCTCCTTCCTCAGCGCCTACAGCAATCTTGCCAACTGCACGGAGCTGCTGGCTGAGGCCCTGGCCTGCCCATGGCCCAGCCCTACTCTTGATTCCTTCTTCCTGCAGATCCATATGGAATATTTCCCCAACTGCACAGCAGCTGAAAGCTCTGGGCCCCTTGAGCCTCCCGTCAGGCCTATCCACGCTCTGGCCACTCTGTCGATTTGTCTGACCCCCCTCGCAGTTGCTCTCACTCTCCGCAAAACCAGGAGAGCTGAGCCAGAACCATAACGGGGCCCAGTCTCACCCCTGTGTGCTCCTTGCACCCTTCTCCAGGCTTAGGAGACAAAGGACATTGTACATAACAGCCTTAAGGACAAATCAGAAGGGGAAAGAGGGTCCAGTGCTTCGAGCAGAGGTCTGTGAACACAGGCCTGCTATAGGGTAGAGTGTTGGGTCTAGCAGGGAATAAGGCAGGGGTGGGCAGTTACTTGGGCCCATGGACCACAAAGGGAGTTTGTTGAGGTGTTGTGGGCCAGGTTAGCACCCCCATCCTCATGCAGCAACTGCACCAAAACCTGTGGGCAAGCTGGGAGCAGTGTTCAGGAGTGGGAGGGGCAAGCAAGGCCAGGATCATGGGGCAGGGCAGAGGCATGATCTGCTGCCCACACACCCCTGTGATGAGAGTGGGTTCCATGGGCAGAGAACAGATTGCAGCTCTGCCCCAGCCTGGTCCCCATGCTGTCACTGCCCCAAGATCCCAGGGTCTCCTCAGCCCATCCCACTCCCAAACACCACTCCCCACCAGCCTGCAACGCCATCCCAGCTGCCTGGCTAAGCACCCTCCCCCTGTCGGTGGGTGCAGGGTAGAAGGGCCAGGGTGCCTGGCCAGCGGTGCTGAATCCAGCAGCTGCACCATCCCAGCCCTGCATTGCAACCAGGCACATGTCACAACCTGGATTCCCCCCGTGCCTGGGCCAGGCGGGGCTGAGGAACCCATTGTGGGCCAGACAAAATTGCTCCATGGGCTGGATCCGGTCCATGGGCCATATTTTGCCCACCCCAGGAATAGGGTCTAGTACAAGTATCAGCAACCTATGTCTCACTGGCCAGCCCAGCCCACAAAGGGACTAGATGTAGCCGGTGATGGTCCAGTTGGGCCCATGGTGGCACAGGGGATTGGCAGTACACAGCTCAGCTTGGCCCAGCGCGTCCTCCTTCTCCACTCTGCACTGTGCCTCCTCAACATAACATAGAGTAAGTCCTCTTGGAAACAGAAAGGATCCAGGAAGCGTGGCATTTTAGGAGATAATCTGGGTGGGACCAGCAGGAACTTCCTGGTGTGGCAGGACCACAATAAGGGCAGACCCCAGACCTTGCAAGGGCAGTAGGGAGACTGTTACCTCTCTAATGTCAATAGTTCTTTAAGTACATAATCAAGAGAGTTGCTTGCACACCAGAAGCCTCAGCAAGATGCTACCTGTAGCACCCCGCTTAGTCCTCCCTCCTGCTGTCTCTTTGGCTCCCTACAGCAGGCACTGCTTATTGTTGCTGCCAAATTTGCTCCTCCCCACTGCTGCTGGTGGATAGTGGGCACCAGCAACATACAGTGCAGGTGGTGGAGGTCGGGTTCATGACAGAGACAGCAGCAGGCAGCTGGGGTACTGTGGAAGGGCATGCTAGGGGGGAGCAGCGGTCCACAGCAGCAGACAGGTCGCAAATGCCTGCCCACCCATCACTGTGTAAAGTTCCCTGATCTAATGTGTATCTGGAGCCAGCTGAATACAGGAGGGATCGAGAAGACACCAGGATCAAGTTTAAAATAATAGGGGTGGGACTGGACTGGAGGTCAGGTCTCCTGGGCTCTACTACTAGATGTAGGTGGGAGGGGAATGGGGCCCAAAGGCTCTCTAGCAAAGGGTTAGTCAGGACTCTGGGGTCCTAGCCCTGAAAGTGTAGGGGGGAGATGAGGTCCAGTAGGTTACAGTGCAGGAGGCTGGAGGTCAGGACTCCTGGGATCCATTCAAAGCTCTGCCATTGACTCACTGTGAGACCCTTCCCACTCTGCACCAGGGCCTTGGGGCTTGCTCTGTGGTTCTGTGCTGACTTCTCCAGGTGTTGCTGGGAGGGGCTGGAGGCTGAGCGCCAGGAGAAGTGTTTATTGTTCACTCTGGTGTGGGTTCTCCCTGCCCGGAGAGGCTCCAGCCTGGATGGAGAAAGAAGACTCCCTGCAAGCCTGGAGGCACAGCCTGGCCCCTATCAGTCAGGTAGCACTGACAGGCATGACCAGGAGGGTGCAAGAATACAAATGGGCTCCTCTCCACCCCTGGCTCTCCTCTCAGGATCCTGGCTCTTTGGGATCGCGTTGTCATCAGCCTGCCACTCACTGGTCACTTTGCCCCACTAGAGTTCCTCCTCAGGGATCAGCAAAGAACATGGTGTTTGCCTGGCAGAGCGAGGCAGTCGGGCTTGTGGAACTGCTCCAGCCTGGATCTGTGCACTAGGGACTCCTCCATGGCCAGTCCTGGCTGGGAGCGTCACACATGAGTGACAAGCATGGCCCTGTTCAAGTGGCAGTACTCCAGATGACATCAGTGGGTGTTGCCTTGGCAAGGAAACACCATCTGCAGAACTCGAGGCTCGGCTCCAAGTGTGCAGACAACAAAGAATGGGATCGAGGGGCTCTAACCCCTGAGCACACCCCAGGAGTTTCATGTGCGGGTCATTATGTGTTCCAGATGCGGCCGCTCTCCCATGGAAGATCTTGCAGTGTCCTGGAACAAGCTACTATTGCGCAGCCCAGAGACAATTGGCCCATTAGGCGAAGACATTTGCAGGGAAAGCACAAAGCACAGAGCGATATTATCTTTCCAGTGCAGGGAGGGTTCCTCTTAGCTGCAGTCCTTTTGCCCTGCAGTTTACACACGGTTTGTGAGCTCCACAAACTGCCTGCTAAACAGGAAACATTAGGCTCAAATTCTGCCTCAAGCCAGAAGTGAAATGAATGTGTCTGGTCTCAGCATGTTTCCCCCTATGAGCACATCACAGAACAAATGCACTGTGCAGTGTCATTCGGACTAGCCATTCATTTCTGTTTGTGGTAGCCCAGGGCTGGGCTAACAGGGGCTGGGGGCAGGAGTGAGGGGCACCAGCAGAGCTGTGAGGTTGGGGAGCCCAAAGCTGGGCAAGCAGGGACCAGGAATCAGGAGTGGAGGGAATCAGCAGAGCAATGGGGTGGGTGCTTGCTCCTTTTTCTTGCCTTGAGCAGCTGCTGGGCTCCCCCACTTTGGTAAACATGAATTCCCCCAGGGTTTTCTTGTGATGGTGTGAGGCTTCCTGGCACTTTTGGGGGGCGGGGGGCAGGGGGGGGGAACAAGTGCTGTCTTCCTCACTGCTTTCCAGGGGGCCGGAGAGGGTGGAAAGATTACCCCCTGAGCAGTGGTGTTCAGACTGGGTTCAGAGGTAAATGCTGAGAGATGGTCTTGAGGTAGTAGCAGCAGACATAGGGCGGTTGGTTTTGAAGCTCCCCAAACCTGCCTCCGAGCCTACAAACTGCATAGCTCATTAATATCAGTGCCCAACTGAGATATTACACTTTCCCCATCCACTCCCCCGGGCTGCCTGCTCTCCATGCAGGAGACTGGTGATTTCACAACCCAGCCCAGACAGGATTAAAGTGAAATACACAAACAAATAATGGGCCTTGTAAAAGTTTTATGTGCTGTAAAGGGAGCAGAGTTCTCCCTGCCACTGGCCAGATGTGTGGGTAAAGTGACGGAGGTACCCCAAGGCTGGGGCAGCTCTGGGTGGTGAGGATCGGTGCCCATAGGCGCCAAGCACACACCTAGCAGCATGGGGGCCCAGTGGTTGCACTGTTCTGACAAGAGTCCCACTGGGAGATCTGTTTTAAAGCAGCACTGAGTAATCTCAGTTTTCACACGTCTCCTGTAGTAGATACCACCCCTGTCAGAGGAAAGGAGTTGCTTCCTGTTATTTCCATTGAAATACTTGTCCTGGTCATTAGCAGGCAGACTTTGTAGGATGGCACTATGCAAAGAGACAGACTCTGGCTGCCTTTCCTGGGGGCTCCTACTGCTGCTCTGGGGTAAGTGCAATTCTGGCTGAGCCCAGCCGGATGTGGGGCTGCCTGGGGCTGGCTCTTCTCCCTGCCAGGGGCCTTTTAGGGGTGGAAGGGTTCACAGATTTGGACTATATGACATGTTAGATTTGGCTGCAGCCTCTCTGAGCTGTGACCCCTGCTGGAGCCTGGCTATATTCACCTCTCTTTGGGGTGGGACTGCAAAGTAGGGGAGCCCCAAGTGCAACTTTGCAGGAGCAAGCATGGCTTCTCCCCTTCCAGCAATGTGCCCTCTTTACTGACTCTAGATCAAATATTCTCTCCCTCTGTGTGACAGCCTCCAGCCAGGGGAGCTCTGCATGGCAGGGCAGTGAGTGCTGCTGACCAGGTTCAGTGACCCCTCTGTACAGGGGAGCAGGGAGAAGGGCAGGGACAGCAGCCCCAATGAAAAGTGGGACAGTTCCTGAGCCTCTTCTGGAGACGGCAGCACACAAATATAAAAAATGAATCACTAACCCACAGAGAGGAGAAGGCTCCGGGGAGTCCTTTTTACCTTTCTGAGACAGGGCTCCTGGGCTTCAGCACCGGCTCTGGCTCTGACGACCTGTGTCTCTATGCCTCGGTCCCCCCCTGTGTGAAGGGGATGGGAATCCAGCAGGAGGCTAGGCTGGCAGGGTGCTTGTGAGCAGTGGGAAGCACGTTTAGCACACGTGTCTGGTGGGAGTCCTGGCTGTGGGGTTGGTGTGTGTCTGTGCAGGGGAGCAGCTTGCGAGAGCTCTATGTGAGCATCTGTAACAGCATGCTTCTCCTTGCAGCTGAGCCTGCATCATGGAAGGTATGCAAATGCTGCTGCCTGGCTCTGGGTACCTCTTCCTGCTTCCCCTCCTTTTCCCCTGTTTATTATCATCATGACCATTAGGGACATTTGGGATGGCAAAACATGCACTGAAAGGCCCCAGACCTGCAAGCTTCTGTCTGAATCAATGGTAGGATGACCTGCCTGGGCCCTGAACAGAAAGGTGCTGGCGATACTTTGACTGTGGGCACCCCTGTCTTCCACCAGTCTGCCTGCCCTCCCACCTTCCCCTCCCCAGGGGCATGCAGCCTGTCACTGAGCCTCAGACTTGCTCCCATGGCAAAACTGTGTTGGGAAGAGAAAGCACTGCTGCCTGTGAGATCTCATAAATGCAAAAGTAGGTAGAGAAACAGCAAG